ATATAATGCATAAAACCTGCAACCTACACTCAGAAAGGGAAAGCAAGAGTTTTTGATAAATGGCTAAGTCACTGTCTTCTCAGACCCCTCATGACCAGCCAACAGCATTCACTTATGCACTCAACAAAGTTGAGGTCCAAGTCCCTGGCCATAGAATATCCTTTTTCTAAGCAGAAACTCCCTGGGTCATGGAAATTCAGCCTCTAACTTACATTTTATTAATATCTCTTTTTTGTTAAGTTAGTGGTTCTCCTCCGTTACTACTGCAGATTAGAAATACCTCAGGTAATTAAAAAAAAGAAGAAGAAGAAGAAGAAGAAGGCATATGAGCCCCTATCACAGATGGGTTATGTGGGAAGCCAACTCTAAGGAGGAGCTTATTCTGCAAGACATTTATTAGGAAATATCCTTGGGATCCACACCCATGGAAAAGAGAAAGAAGTAGCAGGGTTGAGTAGAAGGCAAAGTCCAACACTGAGGTAGGCTACACAACAAAGTTGTCTGATTCCATTGGATGTGCTATAACCGAAACGACCCTTCAAAGTTGTCCTGCTTTGAGCCAAATTCACTGAGCCTTTATACTCTCACCTTGAACAGTCATTTGATGAAGGCTGCCTTGGAAAGGGCATGCCCTTGGGTGACTCAGCTCTCTGTAGCTGAGGCAGTCCCTTCAGGGACTGACAACTGAAGGTTGTCTACTGACAGCATTTTCACAATCCAGGACAAGAAGTCCTTCCTTGAAGAGTAGTCTAGTTAGCCTATCCTCATGTCTACCACAGCCCTTTCCTTCAAAAAATTTCTTATATAATTGGTCTGGGGTGGAACAGTGCATTAGGGTTATTTTTTAAAGTCTTTTGCATGATTCTAGAGCACAGCCACACTGGCTCCTATTTAAGAATCCAGCCGATTGCTGGCAGGGGGCAATTTTTTTGTTTTTCATTTGTTTTGCTTTCTCTAATTCTTGCAATTTCTACATCCTTTAAATAACACTGTGCCTGCAGCAGAAAACTGTATGCTGCAAGTGATCAATAAATATTTGTAAGGCTGTTGACCAAAATAATTATAATTCCTTTGAAAGAAATTCTACATGGAAAAGTTAATTTAGAAATATAAATATAATAATGTACTTACAAAATGAACTAACAACTTCATGAATTAAGTTATCTTCGAGGTGATAATCAAATAAGTAACGTGTATGCTTTTCTGTTAAAGAGAAAGTTAGAAGACCTGAGCTCTGATTGGAAGGCAGTAAACCATTTACTTCAAGAACTGAGGGCAAAGCGGCCTGGCCTAGCTCCTGGACTGACCACTGTTGGAGCCTGTAAGTACACTGTATCATATTCTCTTAGGCTGTAGCCATTTGATCATAAGCATAACTGTGAGGTAACCACTGGGTGAAAAGTTGTTCTGACTCTGAAGACAGGGATAAACATTTGTGTTATTTATTATGCAAAAGATTTTACAGTAGGTTCACTGGAAACAGAGTCTGATCCAGAGTGATGTATGACAAAGGTATATTGGAGAGTCTTCCTTGGTGATACAACTACAAGGAAGAAAGGAATGTAGGGGTGGACAGTGTGAGAGGCCGAAGTGTGAATCACTGCAGCAGAGGCCTAAGGCATTTGACTGCTAACAAGAAGCCTGGCGGTTCAAACCCACCAGCCACTCTTC